TGAGAATAAGAATCGTTGTGTTTTTGTCACCTCAGAATAAGCCGTTTATATCTATAGATGCAGTGGATCTACCATGTTGAACCGTTATGGTACTACAGTAGCTGAGAATACTCAAACCAAAGACTAGCTTCAGATAGTGCTGTTTGCGTTTTTCATTCGTTTAGCGGCCACTGTAGCGTCTCCCTCGGGCTTGGAAGGGAACGATAAAGCAAGGGAGTTGCAAACTGCAACTGTACAGCTAGATGCCACTAAAACCTAAACACTGCTCCTTTAAGAGACCCTGGTCTCTCAGCAGGATTTGATTTTTTGACAATAGGTTCAAGTGTCCTGTCGGAAGAAGGTATTCTATATCAAGTATAATGTCACATTATAAAAAAGGAAACTGTCGTCTCATCATATTCTCACCGTTCCAGTAACATCAGCTTATTCTGCTTCTTCCAGTGGTCTTTGAAATCAGTGGAAAACTCATGCCAAACAGAGAAGAAAGTGTTGGGAGAGACCTCTTTCTCGCCTGCCTTGGGTTTAACTGAGAAGGACACGCTTAACTCCAAGAAGCTGAGGACACAGAACAAAAACATTACTTCAAGACCAAACTATTACAACATGAGATTACAGAAACCTACACTGATTGTTGTGAAACCTGGCAGTGTTGAGCAAATATGCAAAATATGAAAGTTAAGCTTGGAATAATATGCTTTTTCAGAGATTTAATAGTAGAGTAACATAAAAAAGCACAAACCAATGATGACTTTGCAGTTCAGAGAAGAACAATGAACACAAAATAGAATTACAGCCACTAAAGCAGCATAGTCACTCTGAGTTTCTGATGGATTAACTTCCAGGACTAAATTAAACTCTTATACAGTGTTCAGCTTTGTCAATCCACTCCCTGGTGTGTATAAGCCTCTATGTAAGTGTGTGTACATATACATGCACATACTGTTCAGTATATGTAAGCACAAGCAAGAAAAGAGGGGAAGGAAAAAAACATGTCCGACAAGGAGACAAAGACAGATCTAGCAAAAGGAAAGCGTGCATATGGCATGGGATGACATGTTGTGGCCATTTGCAGTGGATCAATACAGTGGACAGGTTGGGGTCTCTTTGTTTGGAGTGTGCTATAGGAACACATTCCTAGCCAGCAGTAACAGAAGCCTGGAGCCAAGGCTGTCTACTCTCGCTCCACTTAGATAAACAACACAGACACCGCACAGGGGGCCTCCCGTCTACTGAGGGCCTGGCATGATGGCGTGCACCTTCCATGTAACAAAAAGAACCAGGAGTCCTAAATATTGACAAAACAGCAAGATTATATGTCTTCGCAGCAATGAGAATATATCACTTCAAACTATATTAGATTGCGTTACCCTTTGACGCCTTTAATTTCAAACTGTGATCACTGTTTTGACGCTTGAGAAAGACCAAATGTTAACCCATAAAGTTGAAGAGAAGCGACTGCATTTATTTCCCAGGTGAAGAGGAAAATCTTTAAAGATAAAGAAAGCTCTTACATCTTCTGAGTGTCTGCCAATTGCTTCTCTTGTGTTTCCAGTTCAGTTTTGGCTATAAAAGGAAAGCACAAGTAAATACAGGATTAGATTAGGATTAGGATTAGATACAAGATTTCCTGTAACATTAGAAAATACATCTTTCACCTACAATGCAACATGTACAAAGTAGGATTCCACATGTCACCATTACTTAGATCAACAGTCATCTTCAAGGTCAGTGCTGTGCCACCAGGTTATTAAGTGCTGGATCGTCCGCTCCAACTGACAAATGAGTACTGCAGATCGCAGGACAAGTGCTTCTTTGTGCAGTGTTACTTCCAATGGAGACAGATGACTTTGTGTGTGTGTGTGTGTGTGTGTGTGTGAGACAGAGAGCAAGAGAGGTGTAAGAGTGTAAAAGAGAGACAGCAAGAGGGTAAGAAAACTGAGTTGGACACCATGGTACACATTAGAAGATATTTCCAGCAGGCCACAACATTTATCTCGGTGGGCCATCAGGATCAGTTTGACTGTGTTATAAATTATGATTTACGAGAAAAGCAGTGAAATGTGACAGCCTCAGACAGGAAAATGCTGCAGGTTATTACTTATCAAATTTCAGATCCATGAGGTGATTATTCAGCCAATTTCCAATATAAAAGAGTAGTAGTAGAGTCAATCCAGCTGTATTTTGTTTTTGCTGGTCTATATCTTCACTGTGCTGCTACTAAGACATTACATTTTCTTCCAGACAGCTTCTCTGTTCGCTCAAGGTCAATTATCTGTAAGATGCTGCTCACTTAAACTGTCAAATGATCAGAAGTGACCTATGGCCTCCTCATAGCTTCCCAATACAGACACAACAGTAGATGGGACAGAGAATCTTTCCTGGCACAAATGTGTTCTGCTCTTATCCCGGGAATATCTGGTTGCTAACGTGTAATTGAAGCCAGAACCACATCTTAAGATCTCAGACAAACCCATTGAGACCAGCACTATGCTTTATTATTCCACAGCGCTAAATCACTCTGTAGCCATCAATCGTGTCTCTCCCTGCTGACGGCTCATCAATAAATTATGACAAATTGATAAATAATATAAATAGGGGTAGCTAATGGCAGGATTGTGTTTTGTTCTTTGAGCAAAGCGGTTACCTACCATTTACTATAACACTGAGCTGGAAGATCCTGCTATGAGTGACATAAAATCTATTTCCAGAAACACTGATATATCAATTAAAATAGATCAACTCTGACACTAGGAATAAACATGTCCCTTGAATGAGTCAATATGACTTCAGTATGATTGTGTTTGTATCTACTTATATCATTGTGGTCATATGAAGACAATGTGGTATTGTGGGGCAGGATGACTAAACTGATGAACATTGTATTTACAACAAAATAAAATAAAACATTTAAAAGGAATAAGAATTAAGATGAAGATTGCACTTGTGTTATCGCATCATGTGGATCAACATGTCTATTTAATAATTAATTTCATCATAACGTGGTATACATAAATATAACAATTTTTTGTTTGATGTTCATTTTAACCATATCGGCCAACATGATGTGACATACTAAACAGCAGAATTGTAGCTGGCAGGAAAGGGAGGGAGAGTTTGACATCAGTCTCACTAATCTTCATGTCCATCAGAAACAGATTATCACATGGCCAATGCTCTCTTGCTAGTCACAGTGACTCCATCAAAGGTCTGCATGCATGAGAATTTGTGAAGCGAGCGGGGAAAATCGAGCTAGACCAAACAGCCGAGCTCCAACAAGTCCGCTCCCACTGTTATTCTGTGGTTAGTTTCATGGTCAGAAAATAAACAAAAGCGGTTTAAACTGTGGAGCCAGAAACAGTTTAACCCCAGGCTTTTTAGAAATTACAGAAATAACAAAAATAAGACATTTGGCTGTTGTTCTTTTTTTCACTGCCGCAGTGGAGGAACCCCAAGAATCCCGTCTGGAGCCTTCTGAGTCACATGTCCATGTTACGGTGCTTACATTCTGCACTCAGAAGGAAAAACCTCGTCATTTGCATCAAAGAGAGAGCTCCCATATTTCTCTCAAACACAGAGAGAGAAAGGAAAAGCGAGGGGGAGAAGTGGACATGGGAGAGATGCTTTCATCTGCAGACTTCCTTTAAAATGGACAGTGAGCATTACCACGGAACAACATATGCTATATATTATACTCTCATCTGAATACAAAAGCAGTTGGGAGAGGGGCCTGTGAGCCGGGGTCCTTCAGAAAGATTGGTCACAGTCAACTGAATGTAGCCACGGTCAAAGCCAAGAATGACATTTGGCTTGTTATGTTAAAACAAGCATAACAAACTAAAGTCTTACACCTTTGAAGTGGACCACAATATCCCAATATTGTTGTACTATAGATGTCAGATTATGCAGATTATGGAGTAAAAGGCATGACTGTGTGACATCTGGTGGACATGACAAACACAACTACATTTTCAGTGGATTTTGCTGTAACAATATCTACAACAAAAATGTCACAGTAGCTGTTAGCCTCCTTGCTCTAATAGTGTCTACAGGAGATTTTTTTGGACATGCTAGCAGCATGGCACAAGGGACGGTAATATTGGTGTGTCTGTCTAACACTTTGGTCCACACTGAAATATCCCAGCAACTACTGGGTGAATTGCCATACAATTTGGTACAGATACCCAGGGTACTGACTTTGGTGATCCCCTGATTCTATTCTATCTATTGTCTCCAGCAGGTCAAAGTTTTCAATTATCCAGTGAAATATCTTAAGATCTACTTGATGGATTGGCACAAAACTTTCCATGTAGTGTCACTATGACCATGAAGTGTCTAAACAACTATTGGATGGATAGCTATGATATTTGCTGAAAACATTAATGTTCTCCTCGAGATGATGATCCTCTGACTTTCTGAACTTTAAATTATGACCAGATACCTGCAGAACTAACAACATCCCCATCATCCTCAGCTATTCTTTAAGTTAAGTGCTAATTAGTAAATGTTAGCATGCTAAGAAGCTAACCTAAGATGGTGCAAGTGGTAAACATTATACCTGCTAAACATAAGCTTTACACAGCTTTACAGCTGTGCAGCCTTACAGAATTGTCAGCATAGCTGTAAACTTTTAGTCTTGCTGGAATAAAAGGGCAATGGTAGAGGAAATGCTCATCATTTACCATCAATTCATCATCATCATCATCATCATCATCGTTTTAACAGCCCTCTTAGTAAACACGTCACTGTGAAGGTTTGTTTGATCACCTAATAGGAGTGTGAAGGAGTGACAGAAAGAGGTGGAGGAGAGGAGAGGTCAAAGAGGCAACTGGCTGCTTCTAATCTCTTTGTCATTCCTCTGACAGAAAAAAGAAAGACCTTGTTATTAGAACAAGACAGCAGATGGAATGGGAAAATAAAGTAAGACAGGAACTGAGGAAAAATCTATGACAAAAACATCAAGTCATGACGTCAAAAGTACTATATCAGGTGCTGAACAAGTCAGTTTTATTCCGATGTCTCAGGCATCCAGTTCGGTTCTCTGCAGTCAATTCAACAGGCTGCATGACAAGTTCACCTTCGGCCATCCTGAATCTTCCTTTGAGGCAGAGCAAGACATACTCTGTTTTATAAGGTAGAGATCAAGATAAAAGACCCAGCTACCAAGTGTAGTTATAATATGTCAAGGCAGATAGGCATGCATGAAACAATAGCTGTGAGTTATTCAATATACCCTGGAATAAACAGACATCCCTATGGAAACGACACTGAGTGAACCCTTGTGTGTGTACTATATATCAACCAGGAAAAAGGCATGAAATAGATTTGAAAATGTGTCTGCAGGCATAGAGGACTTAAATCATTTTGATTGATGAGCTGCTTCACATACTCTCACACCGCAGATGCATTTTAAGCTTAGATATGCCATGGGTAGACCGGCACAGAATACTTTTTGAATCAGAAGAAATTAATTATTTGACTCTAATGTTGTCTGAAGGTAATATCGATGAGCAAACCATATGTTTAAGCAGACTGACCATCACCTGTTTCATCACATTTAAAGGATAAGGCTGGCAATAAACAAAAAATACAGAATATCACCAGACTTATCTTTTAATGAGACTGTAGGAAATATTATCATAACTATTATCACCTTCAATTGATTTGGAAAACAGTCCCACCTTGGCTAAGAAATTCGTCCATCTTGTCCTTAAAGGGTTGGAGGTTCTCTTCAGATGACAACTTGCAAACTTTCTCCGTCTCAGCCGAGCATGCTGAAACAACAAGAGATGATCATGAAAACGGGAAACGGGAAAAATGTCTTTCAGAGCAATAATACCTCATCCATTTTGGATTGTGATTATAAACTCTGCAGTGTACTTTAAATTTCTGCTGAATAAGTGTTGGTAAAGATATAATGACCCATAATGACTAATGAGGCACCCCCAGGAATCAGGAAGGCCTGCACTCTGATCCCAGGAGAACCTTATTGTCACGCTCTATCTGCAACCATAACGGATACACAAATTCAGCTCAAGGCCTTAGAGGTGGAGAGGCCATAAGACGCTTAAGGGAACGGGGAAGTCGGGACTGGGCAAGTGGTAATTCATTGACCATATGGTGCCTCAACCAAAAAGGTACAGAGCGAGCTCTCTTCACTGTGTTGCTTGACGTCCTTCGGGCCAGCCAAGGCCATTTCTGCGCCGCCTACCTATCGGAACCCCCCTCTGGGAACTGTCATCGAAGCCCACGTCTGTTAGAGCACTCAGTTGGCTCTGCTAGGTAATGAAGAAGTCTGCAGGTATAGCATGTGATGATATATTTATGTACGGACAAAATGTGCCACTGCCACTGGGGTCAAAGCAGACGCAAGCCCATTTCCCCTGCGAGCAACTCCATCTTTATGAATTGCAAATAATGAACAGCCTACAGAATCATTATGGCAGAGGAAAAACAATATTTGGCAACATGGCTCAGGCACCTGATTGGTTTAGCAGCAGAGATACATAAAACATGATAGAGAACAGACCAAGTTTGGGGAATTGTTGATCGAGCTGCAAGCACACAAACTCATACACGTACATACTCAACACGTGTGTACGTTTGCACAAAAATACACAGTCGTTTTTTACCACCTGTAGGCACTTGAATCCTTGGAAATTGTTCTGAGTGCTGAGTGACTTGAGACAGAGTAATAAAAGGGAGTATTTCCTAACTGCCTCATTCATTAGGACTCTTTGCACTCAACCAATCAGTTTGACGTGTCAAGCATAATCCAACTTCCACCGTTTTTCCTGAGGTCTTGATAAGCAAAAACATAACACATTCATTCTTGCAAATCTGTTTTAATAAGCCTCTTTTATAATTTACTAAATGCTATATGTTTAATACCAAAGTTCAATATATGAACATGAAGTCCCTACATGAAGTAACTTTAGTTATATTGTGTTTAGACTTTATTGAGGGATTACATAATTGTAATCATAGTTCAATGGAAATTCTGAATCATCATTTCTTGGTTTTCGAAACCCACTGAAAAACTTGTTTTTTTTGTTTTTTTCTCCAACAAATGATGATTAGGGGCAACAGAATGTATTTTTTTTAAAGTAATAATAATAATCTTCATTACATTACATAAAAGCTGGTTAGTAGTCATGTTGCCAAAAGTTAAGTAATTGATTCACCACGTGTATCGGTTGAGGAACTGATTGAACAATTGATTGAATAAATTCATCAAAAAACTAATGAAGTGAAGAGTATTGGGTCTGCCATAATCCAAATCAGTTGATCCACGTACAACACAAAGACATGCAGGAGTATTCTGAAATTCTCTTCATAATAGTGTCATGGTTGTGCGTTTACAGCTTACAGGGCCAGAGCTCGAGGAGAACCTCTTCCAGTTCAGTGAATAGCTGATGAACCTTTGATAGTGTACACAGGTAGTGGAAGTTCCCTGACCTTGCCCCATTTATATTTTGATCTCTATTTCATGAGGACAGCAAAGGCACACCAGGCCCAACAGGAGTCTACATCTGACAAGTCACATCTGCTTCTGGTTAGCTTGTCTGTACGACAAACAGATGCTATCTCTCTGTTGACCCGCCTCTACGATCCACACATGACCATAGCTGGTCAGGCTTGGAAAATTATTTTCTATTGTGCTAGGAGATATGTGCATGGATTAATACATAATTTATTGCTGGATAAATTTCCATGTGATGGTATTTTAAACATGATATGACACCTATCATCATTTGCTGGATATGGCATGGCCATGTTTACTACCTGGTAAGCTTGATGCTATGCAGTTTTAAAGGTTTTGGAACGCAGGTTGACTACCATACCATTGAGGTCTTTCCTCAGCTTACGCAGATCTCTTTGAAAGTCCTCAAACTTCATCTGGGAGGCCTGGAAAAGGTCCTGGGGCTCAGGCAGAGGGTAGACACACGTCTCTCTGCCAGCATCCTGGTAAAGCACAACACACATTCATGCACAAAAAATGCACACACCAATGTCAAAGTCAATTTTCCTCAAATGGGAGAGGGCCTCTCTAGTATATACTGTACACACCAGGCAAGATTGAAATAAATGTCTTCAGAGACCTACATGTACTTATCAGCAGTCCAAACATCCCAGAGAAGATATGGCTGAAACTTCAGCAGATAATGACCATTAAGCTTGGTTCAGAAAGTACACAGCAATTCTCTCCATCAGAGTTACTACAAGGCCATTATGAGTGCTAGATCCATGTCATGCAGGTTGATTTTGGCAAGCAGCACTCTACTGAGTTCATCTCATCTGGAGAACCTAATTATTTACACTAGCGCTCCTTTGGATGCTGTGCCAATGAACAGACTGCAGGTCTGAATGAACCCAGACCAAAGCAGAGCAAGAGCAGGAGATGAAGAGTGAAAGACAGAAAGAGAATTATAAGAAAGAGCCAGAGGAGGAGAGAGATTTGTTTCTGCTGCAAATGAGGAAAGAAAAAATAAATAATTTGATAAAGGATAAGCCATGGTATCCTCTGGCAAGAGAGGAGATGAAAAGAGAGCTCTGGAAGGATTTCTAAGCAAATCAGACTAAAACACAAAAGTGATTCAAATAAACAGGAACCAAAACATACCTCATCAAAGTGCCTTAGATAGTAAGCAACAATGTAGGACAAAAGACTCTGGGAGTTGTCCTGAAAGAAAGAAAATAAAAGATCAAAATAAATAAACTAAATTCCCTTTATTTATTAATTTAATCATTTTGGAGCAGGACGTTTTAATTTGTACGAAGCAAACAAGAATAGAGACAGCGGTCATGAGGATAAATCATGACATTGGAAGAGCAATACAACAAAACACAACTGTGCTGGGCTGGCTGTCATAACTCAGAGTTGGTGGAAAGTTTGATGTTCTTTATGGATACCTTACTTGGTCCACCACCATAAAAACACAAACCACTGTGTCCTTATATGGCAGTGCCAAGGGCACACCGAGCCCGTTATGATATTGAATAAGAACAGTCAACAGAATGGCCTCTCCTCTAAATCTGCACAGCTATGGTCCTCATGTTTGGCAGGAATGAAGGTCCCCTTCAACTCCTGGGCTCGACCATAGATGGGACAATTGTAAAACTGAGTCCACATCAACATTTAGAGACAATATTTTCCCACACCACTTATTTTCTAGCACAATGTGAATTACAGAATAAAGCTGTGGGTGCACATAAACTACACTGGTTTGTCTCTTTTACTTATTTTGTCACAAATTATTACACACTCTTCGCGTCTGCTGTTTGCCTGTGAATAACACCTAATTAAGCGCCTATTCTTGTACAGTGGGTGATGTTTGCTTTTTCTCCTGTATCACAGACTCACACTGCTCTTAACGTCCTTTAGTTTTGGCAGAATGTCCAAGGTGAAGCCGTCGGCCTGCCCTCGAGACCGATTACCTCCGTTCATGAAGTTGCCAAAAGCCAGCACCAGGCCAAGCACCTGCAATACACACTTACCAGTCTGCAGAGACTGGTGCACACATGCGCACAAACACACACAAACAAACAAAGATATAAAGGTTAAATTGAGTGACAGAAAAGAAAAGGAAACAAGAGGAAGGCCAATGGCTCACCTTGCATACTCTCTGAAGGATTTCTACTTTGCGGAGGATTGAGGTGATACATTCATGGAAAGTTGACTGAAACAGGATGCAGAACACTCGCTCAGAGAAGTTGGGGATTTGTGATAACTGGAATAGAAACCTGATGAAGGCACAAAATCAGACCTGTTTAATGACACAGCTCTCATGTACTAAATTTGGTTCAGAAGGTAGGTTTGGCTCTTACTGTTCAGGCTTGTCCAGTGGCTTGGCATCCTCCTTGTCTTTGGATGATTTTATATGCTTCTTAATGCCATCCATCTCATCAGCTTGAGCTCTCTGTCGCATGAAAATGCAGATTAAGTTAAGATGGAAATTTACTATATATGGGCAGGTGAAACCTAAAGGCACTTAGGAGGACAGGATAGCATAGAAGTCATGAATAACAAAGTCTAACAGCTGGCAAAGGATTTTGTTTTACTCAAAGCAAAACCTAAACTAAGTGTAAGACAAGCTGACCAAAATACAGTATGCACATAGTTTGGCATCAAGGGCTCAATTTGATCAGTTCCTGATGTTTCCCTGATCAAACACATTGGTATTAAACTGGAATTCTGCTTCTTCGAGCAGGCCATAAGTGAACATACGCGCGTGTCGTGTCATGTTTTCTGTTGATGAAGATCATGTGATGGAATCAACAGCGCTGACTAAATGGACCTTAAAGTGATTTTGTTTTTATCAATCACTGCTTTCAAGGTCAAGAATGAACCTTGAACCTCAACTTTCAAGCAAACATGGATGAGAAGTCCTTAAAGTGCTCAGAAATGTTAAAATACAAATCCATGACAACTGGGAAACTCACATCAGCTGATGAAGATCATGCAATGCGATCAAAAGCTAGAGAGCAGCAACTAAATCGAACTTGAGGTTTGTTTTGGCAGCTTAGTTCTTTATTTCGTTCAGTAGACAAACTGTAGCTCAAGCGTAAAAGAATTCTCAAATTGGGCCGTTTGTACTAAAACTTAACTGTATGCCAGTCTATACAGTATAACTTTTATAAATGGGAAAGAGTTGCCTTCAGCCAGATTACATTCCTGACTATTACCCTGCTGTCAGGCTCTGGACCACAGTTTTATACAAGGTGGTGTAAAAAAAAGCAGGCCAGAAATGCCCCTTCGTTTCACAAGAGGCAAAGACAATAGATGTTAATGTGTCTGACGCAGTTGGGCAAAACAATAAAACCATCTCCAAGAAGAGAATGTAAACTCTCTCTCAGTCCCTCCAGAGCCCGTAGACCCCCAAAGAGCCTCCACAGTCTGGTCTCTCCCTCTGTTTCTCTGCATCTTTCTCTCTGGGTTTTGGCCTCGGCATGGATCCTTGGAAAACATCAAACACCAGCATCAAACGCACTGAGGGCCCGATTAGTATTCTACACAACGCTGCCTTCTGTCGACGAGGGCAAGCTCTCCTTCGCCTTCTCTCGAGATGTTTTCAAGTGTAAATATATTTAATACAAAGCAGATCCTTTTCAAAGGGCAGCAGCAGAGCCCAGCAGTGTTTGGTGTAATTGGGGACAAGTAGGCATTAGCGTGTGATCTTTGAATTGCAAGGGCATGTTGCAGTGGTTGTTAGCATGAGAAATACAGTCCCATGTGGAATATCAAATGCAAAGGAAAGTAGGATGATATTTGTGATGCCAGAATTCTAGCGGTAGCCAAGTGGTATTCATTAGCCAGGTTTCTAGTACAGTGCTAAACAGAACCAGCCAGGAGCTTAATCACTATTTATGTCACTCAATTTTCAATGGAACAACATTTATGAGATTATTTGTACATGTGAGCTGCCAAAGAATAGTGTCCAAGTGACAAATTGCATCATGTAATAAACATGTCAAATATATTTAGACATCACAAGGCCTTAAAAAAAGAAATATGAAGTGATTATTTGTAGTGTAAAAATCCGTAGGAGTGACTACAGCTCCAACTGACCTCCATGACATTTAGCTACTGTCAGCGAGAGAGTCTGAACTTCAGACAACCAGTCTGGGCCCAGATTATGGCTTGTGATATTGAGGGGAGGGAGCGGTGTCCCACTATCACTGTGACCCCTTTAATGGCGGTGGCTTATTGTTCAAAGAACAGGAGTGGCTATAATCCGCAACTCATAGACTGAGCGACTCTGTCCCTGACTGTGTGTGTGTGTGTGTGTTTCTGTCTGTGACATGCGTACAGTACAGTATGTGCACATTTGTGTAGGTCAACATGTTTGTTTGTGAGCATGTTTGTGTGTGTGAGCGACTGAGGGAGAGCAGTGTGTGATCTCGCTCCTAGCACAGTGAGTGAGGGTGTAACCATTAGAAGCCCCTTGCATTCCTCAAGACAGGCTGACTGTGCTGCCAACTGTGGTTTAGGGGGCTGGAGACCCACAGACAGGATGGAGTCTCGCAATACAAAAGAGAAACAATTTGGCTCCTCGACTCAATAACATAGCCTTAGGCCATAAGGGGGAGAAGGAGAGAGAGGGAGAGAGGGAGAGAGGGAGAGGGCTTGAAGTCTTGGGGTGAGTAGAGAGGTTAGAAGACTTTTGATCCTCAGTTATGACACATTGGTTCATAACTACAGCTTGTCTCAAGCCTCAGTCTCATTCCCATGATCAACATTATTAATATGCCTCTGGCAGCCAAAGGTCCAGGCCTCTCCTGTGTAGTTGTGCCAAAAAGCAATTCACAGGAATTTCACAGCATCTTAAAACTGTATTACAGTTGAAATGTGGAAAACATGCCCGTTTTCATGTTCCATTATTTACTGACCTGACTTCGAACGGGTCCTGAACCATTTCCACTGGGCGGGGGAGATTTCCTATCAGTGATGGTTGATGAATATGTATTTACTGTATACAAGGAGCAATTCATAGCCAAAATGGAGACATATTGGAAAGTAGCGATGACAGCTCCGTAATTCTTTTTATGCTAATATTATACGATACAATGTGGTCATTTCACTTGGCAAAGCTCAGTGTAGTCTCTCTATTTCTCCCTTTTTTAAAAACCACAACGTACTTTCAAGAGGAGCTGTGTGAAACAAATGCTGGAGTTTCTCAACTATCATTTGCTTTGCACAGGGGTATTACAAAAGTGAAGTCAATCAGTTCCAGTGTGTAGAAAACATGTTTACTATGTAAAACCAACGCCCCTTCCAGGCCAGCAGACAGACCTACACAGGACTGACTCTGTCGCCAAACAGCACACATACCAGTACGGCTTGTGGCTCGCCTGTTTGTTTTGGTATCTAATGCACACTTCCTTTTAGTTCAGCCTTTCAAGTGGAACATGAAATAAGAACTCCACACAGAGAAATATGTTCACAGCGAAGTGACATTTCAGACTGACAGTGCAAAAAAACATGTTTTTCTTTATGTACTAGACAACAATTTAATTGAAAATTCTTATTTTTCCCCTGCTACACTGTATATAAAATCGCAGCTTTTGATAATCTTCAAAAGGTATCTTTTGATGGACAGCAACTGGTGTTTTGTGGTTTACCCTCAGGGAAGTGCCAAATAAAACAACACTAACAGCTGATGAATGATTATTTTACCATTTTGTTGATATCACGGCTTGTTGAGTGTTCTTAGGTTTCATTCTATAATAAAATGATTGCCTGTTATTCATATATGGCATGAAACGAGTAACCATAAATCATTCTATTTGTCACAAGCAAACTATTCCAAAATAATACTTTTACTGCAAACCACAGAGGAAGAGAAAAAAAACACACGGTAAGGTTTTCCCAGACCGAACACTGCAGTCAGGATCAGCCTGAGCTGTCAGTGGTGTTAGTTTGTATAATTATACTGGGTTTGTTGCTCAACCCTGTGTATTTATATGATTCTGCATTGGCAGGAAAGTGCAGAAATGTATTTCAGTTTGGGATATTGTCTTTTCACTGGTCTATTGACTTTACTGAAACCACTGTCCACACAAGCCTTGATAATGTTCCCTTCAAAGTCAAAAAATGGCAAAGTTA